ACCCGGGATACCTCTTTTTCTCGAAGAACTGTTTTGTGCTAGGTTTCTTCGAAAATGCAACCGTATTTCCTTCTCCTTGTTGAAATTTTGGGATCTTTTCGATGGTATTTACGACTTTACTGCCATTAATTTGGCTTTTCTTAGGTCTTTGGAGAACTCCTACTTATCGAACTCCTATATATGTATCATTTAGAAAGATTATGTTCGCAAAACTTCGCATGCTGTTAAAGCATGCAAATATATCGGATTTAAAAAAACGGGAGAACTTCAGAAAAGTTGAGACGAAGAGAAATTCTTCATGCTACTCCATGACCGTAGCTCAAATAAGGACCAGATGGAATATTCTCGCGTATTTTAAAACTATATTATCATTAGGAGCAAAGAGTAACTTGGCTTTTTTCCTAAAATTAAGTCTCTACGCGAGGTGATCGATAGCAGCCCTCAATATTCAACGAACTTTCAGTGCCTGCAGGAGACATATGGTTATTCAACGTTAACTGTTTCAGAGACTCGTCAGGGTAAGAAGAAAGCAGGGGGTGATCCGTCTAAGGCGTTAATGTTCGAGAAAGAACGAAAACTGAAGCGGCGTATGAGTAAGATGAAATTGAAGAGTCGAAAGTCTCAACAGAAACTAAGCAAAACCGATGGATCTAAACAGGAGTACTTCACTTTGCTCTCTTAGCTTGATTACCTCATTCCTCAAGGAATTTCGATAACTTAGGCGATTCAGATTGCGAAAGGCGAAGATGGAAGAAGATCTATCTAAAGAAGATGGCTCAGCAGTCACCTTTTCCAAGTTCGATTTCCTTGTTAAAAATAACAAGAAAAAGCGGGTTAGTTCAGTGTTCTTCACCAGTTTTTCGTACTTAAGTGTAATACTACGCTACTCTGGTTTCGTAAAGTCATAGTTTTTCCTAAAAACTTTTGAAAATTCGGCTTCACCAACTCTTCATTCTTTTAATGCTTTCACTGCTTAATATTCGTTTCAGTTGAGCACATCGGAGAAGAAGCAGAAATTCACAGGAAAAGACTATAAATCGCTCATCAACAAGGTAAGTTAGGATGAAATGCATGTAGATTGACACTACTGTTCTGTTCGAGCCCTTGTTCTGATTTTTCATTGGTTTCTTGGTTGTCGACATGTGTATATGTGGAATGGCAGAACAAGTACTTTCGACAACAGCTTTTTGCTTTCAGCATACCGCAGTTTAAGAAAAAGTCAAAAAACATGAAGAACAAAATTAGGCTTCTGTCGAATACACAAGTCGCGGCTAAAACTGGGCTCTTTTCCACTCTGTGTTGAAGTTGTTCTACCGCCTGTATCCCTTCACATTGACATGTTCTGTTGGAGGAGAACAGGAGTTGGACATTAAAGACCAACACACAATCACCCCGACACACTTCGTGCACGCCTCACCCGTCATGGGTCCTGTATAAGCCCTTTGTGTTCATTAACTCTGTTCATTCCCTGCAGATCCAAAACAACAATTCTCGCTCAAGCTCTGACCGAGTTCAGTCCAACAGTCAGCCTTAAGTGTTCCCATCCTGCCGCTTGTACTCCAACCAGAATTGCACCTCTTGGTCCGCGGAAAAGACACAATGAATTTCCGGTCGCATGCACACACATACATGCACATACACACAAGTATTACAATATATACAGTAGGATGGTCGAAAATCATGTGCCTTTTCTTTTACACAACCTTGAGCTCTCAAGAACGTCCTTTGTTGAAGTGTTCTATCATTCTTTCCTTTTTCATTGAGTTTATACTATTCGATGATAGAGCAATAGGCCGTCTGACAAGATTAGATTTTACAAGATTTTTTTTATTTTCAGCCTCTTACTCTTTTCATATATTATTCATCTTCAATTCTGTATTGAAGGTTGAGAAGAGAGAAGAAAAACTGGAAAAACTCAGAGAGAAGGAACCTGAGAAAGCTGCTGAGCTCGAACATGATATCAAATGGAAACGCGCTCTGAGCAAAGCACAGGGAATCAAAATGAAGGTAGTGGAGTCATTCCGGTTTTTTNTTTTTTGTTCTAAAATATTCGCTGCTCATGTTTGTTTTATTTTTTTTTTTGCAACTTGAAGCGAGTAATAAACTTTTGCGTTGCTGGTCTAGCTGTAATAGATTTTACAAATTTCATTAACAAAATGCTGCAGACTGTGTCCCCATTTTGTTCCACTGCATTTGAGGAGCATTATCAGCTTTCGACTAAGCCGTGCCATGTCCTGCCACTCAATGCTCTCTGCTTATAATAATTTTCAACTTCAGGACAACATGGAGCTGCTGAAGAAAGGTATGAAGCGTAAAGAGAAAATGAAGGAGAAGCGGAAAGAAAACTGGTCGAATAGGAGGTCAAATGTTGAGAAGGAAAAGGCAAAGGTATGAATTTGTTTGACTTTCTTATTCACTCCGGGCACATATCGGTTCAGTCAAGTGATTGGCTTAGAAAATAGTGGCAAAATGATATCAAATAACATCAGCTACATGCTTTTCAACCCCATTATTTTCCAGAGACAAGAAAAACGTGAAGAAAACATCGGGAAACGAATAAATGATAAGAAGAAAAGGAAATTGCAGACAATGAGGAAGAAGGGAAGAGTTTTATAAACAGATTATATGCGCTGTTAGATACTGTTGTTGTTATTTGCTGTTCAATTTACGGATAGTGTTGTTCATTGTCATTCATTGTTGTTGTTCATTCATTGCTTTTCTTTGATAAATAGTTTGTTAAGGAATTCGTGTTCTTGGCATGATTGGAGAACAAAGAATATTTGACCACTGATAACGTGTTATTAGTTTCATATCATTGCTCTTGCAGTAGTGCTTAGTTCGAGTGCAAGGTAGGTGGAGAATGAATAGTTTCGCAAGTCTGTTGCCATATCGTCCTACGGAATAGACTTAGATTTTAATTCTTTATTTGTAATGGATAAGCGATTATGGGTGAAAAGCAGGAAGAAAACTCCAAAAAAGGTATCCAGGTAACATTCATGTGGATTTCTCAAAACTTTAGAACGTCGACATTCTAGAAAAAAGAGCGCGGCTAAATCAGCACATAGTGCGGCGAACAGTGAATGAAAAAGTGATATATATATATGTATATATATATGTGAGGAAGGTGTCTATATTCATTGTTTTTAATTGTGTTACTAGTAGGTTATCCATAATCTGACTTTGATACCCTAATGGTCCATCGACTGGCGGTCTTCACAGCGTGGACCGTAGCTCCTCCATGGTTGTGGTATCTTCTCCTCGGAAATCGCGTCGCGCTCGGTACACGCACCCACGGGCTATGAAGCAAAAGACTTGATTCCCGGTCGAAGGATACGGTAGTCGCCGCGGAGCCATTGCCGCTCGCCGTGGGAACTTAGCAAAAGTATCGCCACATCTCTTCCATACCGCCCTATCTCTCACGACCTGCATCCAATGTAGGCCGCTTTTTCCGGAATACTTGGAGAATGCATCAGCCCATCGAGTTGACGATCGTTCTGGCGGTCTTGTTTCTTCTCGGAATGGCATCTTTCATAGTCCACGACCGTTCGCTAGCGACTGGCGACCAGTCGCACGACTGGTCGCCAGTCGCTAGCGACCGGTCGTGGACTATGAAAGATGCCAATCCACTCATCGACTCGAAAACTTAACCTGTCATCCTTCCGGCTATGTAAGTGATCGGACAAGTGGTGCTTCGAATATTTCATGTATTGAACCTGCACGATAAGCAGTTGCACGGCGTAACGATTGTCTTGTTATGACGAGACGTTTGAGTCTTACTGGCCGAACCCTGAGCGGTGGAAGGGTTGCTGGCTCGATCGGGTTTCGATCCGAATGTGAACCATAAGTGTGATAGTGTGCGTCACTTCGCACTTTACCACTTCCGCTCCGATTGCCCACTACGGAGGAATGGAAGGGTTGCTTTACCTGAGGGGACTTGAGCCACACCTATTGAAGGCGTATAAGGAATATAAGTGGTATGCGGAGCGCCATCGCAGTGTGCGGTACTTCCTGCACGAATTTTAAACTCGATTCCATTAATGTCTAGAGACTGTTCAGGATATACCAAAATTATAGGCGCCAAAATTCAGAATCTAATGGGTCAGAAATAATCCATTAGTTTCATTTCATTCGTTATTAGTTGGTTGGACAAGTAGGTTTCCTACTAAGATCCATCATTTTCGAAGTGATACTATCAACATTTTCCAGTTCGTGAAGGCAATTCATTGAAGTTTACTATGGTTCGCATGCAAGAGGTGGAAGGGCATAGTAAAATTCATTGTAATTCCAATAATAACCGTACAAAAGGCCATTAAACGATAAAGAGAAACGAAATCAATTTATGAGAAAATCGGAAGGGATAAGTTCGTTAGCGTTTTTTTTTAGATACTACTATTAAAATAATTCACTTGCGAGTCGATCATAATCCTGAGTGACCTTTCAAAAGAGAGGCAACGGATAGGGCATCGAAGTTGTCGATGAGGAGAATTGCAAAGAAAAAGCTTCTTTGCCATTTCTACCGTAGCAGGAAAACCACTTCATTCCTGGTCTTAACAGAAAGTGTGTGGCCAAAAGTGCAGATGGTAGCAAGCTCGAACTAGGGAAAACACGCATCCCTTCATCGTTCTTTTACGAGAAAATTTTTACGACGAAGTCAATCCTGAACAAGTGAAACGATCGCGTTCATTCCAGGAACATCGAAAGTACAATCATTCACGGGAAAGGTGTTATAAGAAAGTTGCAAAATTGTTGTTTACCGAGGAAGTCACGGTCAATGGTAGACGCCCTTGGTATGTTGATCCGGCTCCGCTTCCTGAAACCTCCGTGGTCTTCCCAGTACAACGGTACTCCTGCCCACAGAATCAAGCTCGTCCAAGGCTGTTACCGATGTCATCTTCCCGACTTCATTACCGTAGAGGACTGGCCATCCTGCCCCTCACTCTTAGCCGACCTGACTCCTTCCCACGTATTGTCCTTGATTAAGATAGAAACTGTCGGGTTTGCAGCCTCAGTTTAGAAATCTGAAAACAGGACGCAAGAACGACTGGAGAGAAATTTTGGAGGGATACCAGCGTGCAGCATGCGAAGTGTTAGTGAACAGGCTTGGGCCTACAATATTTGGTCTAATGGGGGATATTTTGAAATGTGATTGTGGGTTTCTGTAGCACATAATATAAGCATATTAATTTCATGTCCATTCTCGGCCTAAAGCCATGAATACATTTTAATTTATGGGCGCCCGTGATTCGGAACACTCTGCAGGAATGAGCAGTCTCGGTGTGCTAGACGTGCCTTATATTGGTGAAACACAGACTACGATGAAAGGATATGCTCTCAAATGAGAGTTTTTCTACAAAAAAAAACGTTTCAGAAATAGCGAAAAGTGTGTGCAGGTTATCAAAATAGGTACGGTAACATGCCTATGGTGGGAAGAGCGTGGGTCGAGGTCAAACTTCAAAAAAATTGCAGGAATGAGCAAGGGATACTGTGAGCATACCTTGAAGGTACAGTTCACGACAAATTTAGTTTATCGGTTCCAGATGAATAATAGAACAGATAATCCAAAATATGTAATGGAAGGCAGGAGAAGGAAACGAGGAAATCGGCGTTTTCAAAAAATAAGGCACCAAAGAGAAGTGAAATCAGGGGTTGCACAAGAATATGATGACGGAAGTCGCGCAGCGGGGTATTTGGACGAGCTGTTCTCATATACGTGCCATTGTATAGAACTGGCTCCAATAGGCTGCCTGCGAGCAAGATGCGGGTTCGTATGGTACAACATCTGCAGCTCCCGCAACACTTAAAGGCATGGTTCACTATAAAAAAGGTTACTGAGTATTTCTTTAGGAATACTCAGCGCCCCCCATGGGCGGTAGAAGGGACCCTCTCGCTCCCACAATCTCGGCGCTTGGGGCATAGTGGAAGCCCCGTTGCTGCCGTAGTTCGCTTTCCCGCCCCATCGATCAGTGTCACGTTAGACGAGTGTCGAGACATTACAGATTGCTATTATTCGTTCTAGGACCCACGCACAATCAGCTAATCGCCGGGTGCTGTTTATATGATGGGGGGCGTCTGCGAAACTCGCTGTGGGACCGCAATACCGTAACTCGCGCCGCGCTCATGTGCTTAGTTGTAGCTGGCCTAAATTTAAAAGTGAAATGAAAGCCACCAGGATGGGGAATGGATGAAAGGAAAGGAGAGCACAGCACCCAACACCTTCCTTCGAATGTACAGTAAAGGGAAGGTGTTGAGTGAGGCGCTTCACTCGACTGATTGAGCCAAAGGCAGGTCTGTTATAAGAGCTCCTTTGAAGAAACTATTCACATTAAAGTGGAACTTTAGGCATTGCGCCCTAGTTGAGAAATCGTTTGTACATGTGCGGACAGATTTGTTCCTTTTAGGAGTTATCATTTAATATGAATCCTCCTCTAAAGCAACTAGGGTGTAGGTTGTGCTACCTCGGGATCGAGTGCCTGTCACTGCTTATACCACAACACGACTTTTGCTTTGAAAGTCCTACATCAAACTAGCAGAAGTTTTCAAAACTTGAATACCTGTTTGTCGCCCTAACCTTACTGTTTATTACCTATTATAATAACCTGCAACTGACACCCAACACCTTCCCTATTCTGTACATTTCCCATCCTGGTGGCTTTCATTTCACTTTTAAATTTAGGCCAGCTGCAACTTTGCACCCGAATTTCGCAGACGCCCCTCAGTTTATAAACAGCACCATAATCGCCGAGTGATGAGGCGATGCCTTCTCAAATTCGTTTTTCCTGTTTTTCTTTTTGCTGCCGCGATCCCTTATTTAATTTCCCACTCCTAGAGGCTGAAAAAGGTGAGCTACTTTTGCTGT